TGCCTCACCCACTCCCACCCCACCTCCCCCCATCCACTAGAACTATTCCAGATTTAACTCCTTTAACAAAACAAACCCTTGGCCTTGACTCTCATCTCTGGTCTAACGTGTAGAATCTCCCAGTGTAGCTGACCATGAAGGGCTCCAGCAACCTCTTCTTAGGAAAGAAAAGAAAGTATGGTGGTGAGTGGGCACTGTATATTCACAGTAGCCTGGGAAGGGGTGCTCTGAGCCCCAGTTGAACACCTTCATTTCCCCTCAGGCTTGATGAGACACTGCGAGACAAGCCCTGTGCATGCTTGTATCTGTAAGCTCAGGCCCCATTCACACACAACACCTGTCCTCTTTAATGGGGCCTCCAGTTGGATGTCCCTCTGTCCTTAGAGAGCACGGCCCATTTGAAGTGGACAGGTGTAAAAGGATGTGAGGCCCCAGAGCTTACAGACAGCAATAGAGAAACCTGAAGCATGATCCCAATTAGTCTTATCAATAAAAACCCAGGGTCAAATATCAGGCTAATAACCTGAAAGATCAGGGAAGCGAAGGAGAAGCCACCAGTAACTTCTTACCTCTCCAAATCCTCAAACCAAAAAGCGGGGGCTAAGATCCTGTCTCCACCTCCGGATTGTGCTGGGATTAAAGGCATGCACCACCTGCACCACCACCACCACCACCACCACCACCACCACCACCACCACCACCCAGCTCTGTGGTTAACTAATGGCTAGCTCCACCCTCCGATCTCCAGGCAACCTTTATTTGTCAGAACATAAACAAAATATCACACAACAGAAACCTGAAATATTGTTAAACATGCAGGCTTTTGTCTTCAAAAGAAGGGATATGTGTGCCTGTTTTCCATGCAGAAGGCTGGGAGTGAGTGTTGTCTAATAGCTGGGTGATCTTTTGCTATTCTGTGGAGCCAGCCTTCATTCGAATCCCCCTTACCCTGGCCATTGTTTCTCAGTCAATAGAGCCTATCCTTATGAAAGAGATCCCATGTACATTGCAAAGAGGCTTTTCTATTATGCTTATTATAAACCCTTTCTCCCTAGACCCTTGTCCTGAGCATTGTTTCTCAGTCAGGAGAGCCCATTCTTGTAGAAGAGGTCACAGGTACTTGGCAAAAGACATGAACTTGGCAAAGGAGTTTTGATATAGCCATGCCTTAAGCTTTCTTATGATAACTATCATGAGGAAACTTTTTCCCAAACTTGTCCTATGTTGAAATATGTAAAAAAATAAAATAAAATAAATTGCCCCAGGTCAGACTCCAGGAGTTTGAACCAGTCCAGCTAAACTGTACTGATCCTTGCCTCTCCCAGTTCATTTCTTTGCTAACAGCAGAGCTTGCAGGGATCCCCCACAGACAGGTGATGGGTAAGCAGGCGACTGGGCAGTACTGGATCCGGGGAAGAGATAGGTCACTGTTCTGCCAGTAGGGTTGTCCCATGAAGGATGACCCATGGCTCCCCAGAGAAGTGACTTTGACAAAACAGTTGGGGATGAGAAGAAACATGTTTGTTTTGGGAAGGAGAGCTCGTAAAGGGCAAGGTGTGATGGTAAAAGAGGATCAAAGGAGTCCCAGGGCTATCAGTCATGCCTGCAAACACAAGCATGCTCATACATGGGCATGCGTTAGAGACCACTTGGAACAGAGGCAGAGCAGGTCAAGAGGCGACACTCAGCGTCCATCAGAAGAACAACAGGCACACACAAACACAGTTTGTACCAAGGGAGGAATCTGGCCGGCCTTGTATTTGAAAGAGGTGGCACTGCCGTTGAGGAGCGGAACTGATGGAAAAATCAGCAAGAGTAGAAGATAATATAACCTGCAAAAGGCAGCTATTGTGCGGGAAAGGAGAAGACGAGAATCATGAGTCAGATGAGGACATCTGTGGGGGACCTGCCCCCACCTTTTCCAGGGTACTCTTGAGAAGAGAGGGATAAAAAAATAACAGGTAGAAAGATAGACCTAGTTGACAGAAGAAAGACAGAAACACGGGATGACTTCAGGAGGACCTGGGTCAATACCCAATGGCCCAGAACTTTATTCAAAAGGGCTTTTTATAAGAATGCCAAGGGACAGGCAAAAGACCTCCCCGCTGCTAGATACAGCCAAGTGCAGACCCTTCCAAACACCTGGTAACCATGCCCGTGGTCAAATCATCCTCTTATGTAGCTCTCCAGAGTAAAGCAAGCTCAGATTCTCTGACCCTGAGTAATTTGGGCCTCCACAGACCCCATAGGTAGGACCTCAAACAGACCTCAGCTGAATCTACTTTCTCACACTGAGGAAAATATCAACATTACTTCATCTTCTGGCTTTGGTTTCCTTCGTCTTTAAAATAGCATGAGATCCACTGAGAGAATTAAAATGAGTATAAACATGAATATGAACTTCCCCAGCCAGCCCAACTCACAGGAGATGCTTAGAAATGGAAAACTCCCCAAGGAAGAGTTTATAGTTTCCATGGAGAGCAAACGAGATCCAGATCTTTGATGCTTGAAAGGGAACCAAGGAAGAAAGGAAAGATGGATGGTGCTTTATGAAGACACAGAGGCCTAGACAAGCCTTGGGAAGGGCCCTGTGTGTTTTGACAAGTACTCAGAACCTTGAGGGTGGAGCAACGGGGACACTTTTGAGTGACCAGGAGCGTGATTTCAGGAACCATCAAACCTCAAAGCAACCCTAGCCATATGCCCGTCAAGAAACCCACTTCCAGGCCACTGAACCTATCCTATCCTGGGGCCTTCCCCAAGCCTCCACTTACTACACAATTCCCACAGGAACCAAGACAACCAGAAGAATCGCAGCTCCCAGGGACATTTATAGTAAATAAAACAAAGACAGTTTCAGGGAAGACGCTGCAGACTGGGAACAGTAATGCAACCAGGAGCTAGGGAGAAACTGGAAATCCAACAACTGGGCTGAGCTATTGATCGCCTGCTTCTCCTCCTAAGCCTCAGTTCGCAGAATGCCTTCATTAGGAAATAGCATTTATAGAGATAGACGAAAGATAGTGGCAAAATCCCATTAGATCGAAATCAATTAGTCATGATTCTGCAGCCTTTAATTTGGGACAAGTTAAAGCTCACCCTTAACATAACAGCAGCCAGGCTTTTCCAGCAATGAACGTGGGGATGGCAAGAGATACGGTAAACCACCCAACCCAGGCACCCCTCCTCGTCATTTGTATCACATACCCTGGTTTTCACTCCGTGGGCTGGCAACAAGGGCAAAATCAACTTAGAGTTAGAACACTCCACTGCCATTCAACCTAAATAGAGCAGCGGGGTTTAATAGAGTACACACACTACCTCTGATCTTGCCGAGCCCTCTGCAGACACGACTAGCTGATCAGAACTCGAACATCCTTCTCTCCAAACAAACTGTAGCACTCCAAACAAAGGACAGCATTCTGTGTAGAATGATGCCATTTTACCTACAGTGTGCTCTTGGAAACACTACCTAACTCGTCTGCACCTTGGAGTCCTCCTCTATAACTTGGAAACAATAAGAATACCTTCCCCACAGCATTGTTGTGAGAACTGAAACAGTCATCTAGGAAGAGCTCATTGCGCACGCAGCAGAAGGTACCACGTTCATCAGGCAGGAGGCTATCGAAGTCAAAAACACGGGATTCAGACAAAGCCATGATTGTCTCGCAGCGACTTCAGAGGTGGGGCGCTCTGTTCTGCACCTTTGGATCAGCCATTATTTCTCCATCAGGACTTCACTCTAGGGGGTACGTGGGGGAGGGGGGCACTGTTGGAGACGTGTCCAACACTGTATGGTGTCTCACGATGAATCTGGTGCAAAAAAAAAGAAAGATCTATTCTGTACATGTGCCCACATGGTCTCTGCTCCAGTATGTTTAGCTAATGAGCCATACCTTCACACCTTGCTGACACCCTGGAACACAGCAGAGGAGCTAACAGAGCCCACCTGCCTTGTAATGGGCATTTCCCATTTCCTCATCTCTACCTAGACCTCTCTATTAGATATCAAAGCCTTTGGCTCCGTTTTACCAGTTTAATTTAATCTTGAGCAATTAGTCCTTTGAGGGAGCCATCGGCTGTGATCCATCAGACGCTGCTGCGGCCTGTTTATTGTAAGCAGAATTTAATCTTGGAGCTACATCATATGAAAATAAAAGTGCCTAAAACCACATGTATTCAAATTGTGATAATAATGCAAACAGGCAGACGTTTTCAGCATGGCTTATGAAGCGGTTTAGAAGCAAGGGGTTTCCAGAAACCTTTTAAGCAACAATGAAGAAAATGAACATTTACTTGAATATATGTGAATATGAATGGATGTGGGGCCGTGCATACACACATGGTCTCGGGTTCTTCTCCTGTTGCTGTGATGAAATACACTGACAAAAACAATTTAAGACTGATTTCAGCTCGCAGCTCAACATACAATCCATCACTGTGGGGAGGTCAAGGCAGCAGCAGATCGAAGCACCTACTCACAGTAGGTCCACAGTCAGATTACAACGAGTGCATGCATGCTAATATTCTGTTTGCTTTTTCCGCTATATGCAGTCCAGGATTCCCTGCGCAGGAAATGGTCCTGCCCACAATTAAGATGGATCCTCTCACATCAAATAACATAATCAAGATAATCTCTCACAGGTAGGCCCAAAGAGCCATGTCCTAGGTGACTGAAGACTCTGTCAAGTCTTCTACCAGCATTAACCAACACAATCACACACAGAGAGAGAGAGAGAGAGAGAGAGAGAGAGAGAGAGAGAGAGAGAGAGAGAGAGTTATATTAAGTCCCAAAGTTAGGAGTAAGACCTAGACATAATTCCTAGTGTCTGCCATTGTCTGACCTACAGCAAGTCCCATGGAAACTCAGTTTGTTGTCATTTAAATGGGCATTTTACCTACAGTGTGCTCTTGGAAATAATACCTTCTACAGACTTAGCAGCGTTCAACAGTGGCCTCCGGAAGGTATGCCCACCTAGATGGGGTCTATGGATGTTACTATATTTTGAAGAAAGGGCTTTTTAGATGCATTTAAGAGTCCTGAGGTCATCCCAGGTTTTCCAAGTGGGCATATATTCATTGACAAAGTTCTGTTAAGAGAAAGGTCAGGGGATATTGAGACACGGAGGAGAAGCACGGAGAAGACTATGTGCCGTGGTTTGAATCTGGAAAATCCCCCCACTCAAGGCTTGTGTTTTGAGGGTTTGGTCCCCAGCTCGTAGGGTTTGGACCTGGCTAGTAGAAGAAGGTCCTAGGGGAAGATTGTTGAAGGTTGGCTCTATCCTCAGCCCCACCCCCCACTCTCAATGCTTCCTGGTCTACCACTACTGCATGACTTTCCCTGGGGAGAAACACGGAGATGCCTATTGACTCCTGTTCAGACATCCGCAAGCCAAAGAAACAATTCTATTGGAGTCCAGCTTAGTGAATCAATGAATCTGGTCAGGGATTCTCCTGAGAGCGCCAGGGGCTCTCAGCACCTCCGGCACCCAAAAGACCCACCTCAAGATGCGTGACAAGTCACAAAAGATGTGTCACTAGAGTTCCCCCCACCCAACCCTCCGCCTCTCACAAACTCTCGCATACTTATCCCCAATACTGCTGGGGCAGGAGGAAGAGGTGGAGCTGAAACCTCAGGTGAGGAGCGGGCGCCCTTTCCTTCCCATCATCTGCAAGGGCCTTGTGTGAGTAATCACTGCTGCTCTGATTACAAGACAGTGACAACCATGTCACATCCAGAGGACAGAGGTATACCGCAGCCACCAGGGAGGAGCTCCCATCACACACCTGTCATACCTTCCCCCACCACGATGATCTGAAATCCCTCTGAAACCATGCACTAAAATAAGCCTTCTCTCCCTTACGTTATTTCTGTCTGGCATTTTGATTACAGTGACATGGAAAGTCACTGATAGACCATGTGACCAGGGTGGCAGCAAGTGCTATACCCCAGTTATATGTAACTCTAACAGCAAGCATACCCTGTGTTAGGTATTCACATGTTTCTTTTCTTTTCTTTTTTTAGTCAATTTACAAAAACTATAACTTACTCCAAGGAGTGGACATAATGCTGCACAAGTCAGAAATAAGCCTATGAGTTTCCTCCAAATCTCATTGGCTACAGTGTGGGGGCCTACAGAGATTTTCTAGTGAGATCTGAGCTTGCTTCACCCAGCGGGGCTGCATTAGGGGATGGTTTCACCATGTGAGTAGTTACCAGGTGTTTGGGATGGTCTGCACTTGGCTGTGCTGGGGGGAGGTCTTTTGCTCCACCCCTTGGCATTCCTTTAAAAGCCCTTTAGTAGAGACAGTAGGGGCTGGTGGGCTTTGACCCAGGCCCTCCTGAGGCTATCCTCTTTATTTCTATCTAAATATTTCTCACTTCTCCCTCCTTAAGAGTACCCTGGGGGAAAAAGTGGGAGCTGGTCTCCCTCACTACAGTAAGGGTCATTTGTCACCAACTCTGCTCAGAGGTAGGGAGTTTCTGTTTCATGTGGTCTTCATTCTGGAACCCCGAAGGACAACTGTACCCCTCTTCTGATGCTGTCCCTCTTACGTGATGCCAGAGCAGGGAGGTGAGGACCCAGCATCAACACTTGAATATGTGTGCATATTGACTGACTCCTGCAGCATAAACATTAGATCTGCTGACATAGGAAACGGCAAAGCTCGGCGAAGCTGAATTAGGAGAGAACCAGACATCAGGAAACATGAGGCACAACGATTCAGCTGCGGGTTCACCGACCCCTAGGCCTGTGCACTTGAACAATGACAAAGAACTCTACTGTGAATCGAAGATGAATGAAGTGACCCAGGCCTGGGAGATTTCTATGTCATTGTCATCCACCAAATGTTGGCCCGACCCTCCAGCCTCGAGGTGAAGGAGCTGTGAGTGGCAAGAGAGCAGCACACATCAACGTTGTTTTGTTCTTCTGGACAACCCCTCCCGGCCACACCAAGATTCATGGGAATTCAGGCCCCAAGAGCCTATTAACCTCAGTCGCTCCGCAGGGTCTGGTCTAAAGAGCCAGATCAATGAGATTAAGCAAACGTTTTCTCAGAAGTCTCTAGCAGAAAGCAGAATGCTGGGGTCCAGCATGTGACACTGGGATCTATCTTTGTGAGTGGCTGGCAGATGACAAAGAAAACTGTCATTTTTCTAACAGGCCCCAGAACAGGAGTGTATTTTTTTTTAACCTACTATAGAAGCCAGCACTGAGCAAACACTGGTCTTCCAGGAAAATAAATGCACAGTCGGGATACTCATTATCAACTATCCCTGGCTTGATGGTAGAGCGGCAGCCCATCATCACTCCCTGCCTCCCTTTCTTCCTTCCTTTCTCTGCCTCTCCAGCCTTTGATGAACGCCTGCATTCGAGACAGCCGCTAACATTTCATCTTCGGTTTCTATAGCAGGGAACAAGGAATGTAGGTCACTGATCTTAGGCATGGCCTAGTTTCTCAGCTCTAAACAGAACCCTTTCTTCAGGTAGAGACTTTTTCTCTAATAAAGATCTAACCTGCTTAGCTCCACCAAACAAGTCAGGCTCCGACCGCCCTCCACCCCGCCACCACCGAGCCGGGAAGCTTGGCAGAGAAGCCTGCAGCCTTAGGAATGACTGAAAAGCAGCTTGAAAACAAACGTGGGCTCCTGAGGGTGCACTGATAGGGTCTCACAGGGAGAGCGGAAGCAGCTTCCACGCAGCCCCCTGACGCAAAGAGAATGGAATAAGGCTCACCAGACACTCTGCTCTGCTGACTAGTCCCGGCATCTTTACTTGGTTTACCATCCCTGGGATTAGCTCTGGGTGCCCCCTCTCTCCTTCCCGCTCCTCTTCACCCTTTCTTTCTCTTTTATTTGTGATTGACATGTGCATCGTATAAACGTATGGGAGTCGGCGTGATACTTTGATCATGTGTACACTGTGCAATCATCTAAGGGGGTAATTAGCACAGTTGTCACCTTAAACATTTGTCGTTTCTTTGTGGTAACTATTCAACATCTTCTGTTCTCACTCTTTAAAAATACGCACTTATGCATTTCACTGTGGTTACCTGCATTGTCACCCCACTGTGCAAATGACCCCAGAACTCACCCCTCCTATTAAGCTGCAGTTCTGGACTACCAACCAATTCCTTCCTCTCTCCCTCCTCCCCCTCTTCCTCCCCTCCTTCCTCCCCTCCCCTTCTTTTCTCCTCTTCTGTATTAGTTACTTTACATGCTGTCGGGTGCAAATGCACAGCAAAAGCAACTTAAGCCAGGAAAGCTTTGTCTGGGCTCACACTGTGAGGGGGCAGGAAAGCTTTGTTTGGGCTCACACTGTGAGGGGGCAGGAAAGCTTTGTCTGGGCTCACACTGTGAGGGAGCAGTTC